AATGGCAAATATAATAGCCAGACACTCTCGTTCAATCACTGAGTAGTTATTCTCACTATTCAACAGTTTTTTACTTGTATATGTTATTGAAACAGTCCATCTACATGTTCCTGTAAGAGTAATGCCCATTTCCAATGTCTGAAGCATCAGCCTGAACGATAAATGGTTTGTTGAAGTCTGGCATTCTAAGAATTGGTGAGCTTCCCAACATGTTTTTTAATTTCTGGAATACCACCTGGTGTGGTTGTTCCCACTTCATCTTGTTTGGCAAGCCTTTCTTGGTCAGGTCAGTCAATGGTGCAGTAATTTCAGCATAATTTGGGATGAATTTCCTATCGTATCCTGCTAACCCTAGGAAGGATCTGACTTGATGCATGGTCATTGGAGCTGGTGTATCTTGTATGCGGGTTACCTTTTCCTTTTCCATGGCTATCCGCCAGTCCCTCATTTTATGTCCAACAAACTCCAGCACAGAATATCCAATGTAGCACATGGATGGCCTGATGGTGAGGCCCACTGCCCTCACTCGCTGGAATACCTGTCTTAAGTCTCTTCAGTGTGTGTGTGTCAGAATGTCATCCACATAGTGCTCAATGTTGGTGGTGTTGTGCATCATCTTCCTCATCATGCGGTTGAATGTTCTAACCTGAATGGCATCTGCTTAAATTGGTAACATCCATCTGATGTCACAAAAGCTGTCTTCTCTTTAGATCCTGTCTCCATCAGGATTTGCCAGTAACTTTTAATGAGGTAGATCTTTGAAAAGAACCTGGCCCCATCTAGTTTTGCCATGTTGGCCTCTGGGTTGCCCATAGGTTCGGAGTCGAACTTTGTCACGAGGTTCAACTTCCGGAAGTCTATGCAGAAACGGTTTGATCCATCCTCTTCTTCACAATTACAACTGGTGAACAGTAGGCTGAACTTGAAGGCTCAATGATTCCAGCTTCCAACATTGCCTGAACTTCCTGCTTTATCAGATCTCTCATTGCACAAGGCATCTGATAGGGCTTCACTTTGACAGGATCCCTGGTTTTGGTCTCAATCTTGTGTTGCACAATGTCTGTCTTTCCTGGTTTATCTGTGAAGATATCTGCATACTGGTACAGTAGGTCTTGTAATTTTCTATTTTCCTTGCCAGTCAGTTCTTCACTGATGTTGACACCTTTGTATGTTTCATCTCCACCTAGTGGTCTTAGATCTAGTAGGTCCTCATCTTCTAAGACAAAGTCACTGTCTTCTGGTTCTGCATCTATGATGGCCACACCTGTAACATCCATCTCTGTTTCAATAGCTGCACCCATTAGGTCGTCTTCTCTCCCAAAATACTTCAACAGATTGGCATGGTGATCTTGGTCTTCCCTTTCACATTCACCTTGTAGTCCATTCTGTTGACTACTTCCTGTACTTCAAAAGGTCTTTTCCATTGCAGGGTGAGTTTGTTGTGGTCTGTAGGCAGCAGAACTAAGACCTTTTGTCCAATTTGTCGATCCTTGGCCTTCTTGTCATAAAAATGCTTCTCACTACCTTGAGCTGCATACAAACTCTGTCAAGCAGGTTTACAGGTTTCCTCCAGTCAGTTTCTTAGGTCTAACACATACTGCGTTCCTTATTTCTGACGTTTCTTCTCCCTTCCATAGCTCTTTCAATATTTGCATTGGACCTCGTACTGTTCTTCCGTACAGTAACTAAAATGGTGAAAATCCTGTATTTGCATGTGGGACTTCTCAAGAAGCAAATAATGCTGCCTGTAAGTATCTGTCCCAGTCATGTGGTCTCTTCTTTAGCATACTCTTTAAAACTCCATTGACTCTCTCACAAAGTCCATTACATTTAGGATTGTAGATAATGAAAAGGATCCTGGGAAGAAGACAGATGGGAGGCTATGTACAAATGTAGAGGTCCCTCCTATCCTGATTGAGGGCATTGAACACCAAAGGCATAGTATGTGGAATAGTGGACCACAACAAAGGAAGTTTGATATTCAAATGAGTGGCATATGCATCCAACCATGGATAAGAAAGAGAGCACCCAGGGAATAACAAGCCAGCAATTGAAATGTGGCGGCAGTGAGCCCAGAACAGGAGATCCAAAGAGTGAAAACACAGGGACCCTGACTGAGTTCCCTCTTACCAAGTGATATGAGAGAACAGTTGAGTCGTTGGAATGAATCATAACAGTCTCACCCCTCAGAAGCGGTAGAAATAATTCATATTCTGTTGAATAGCTATGAGTTCCAGAAGACTGACAGGGAGACTTGGGTCTGCTGAAGACCAACAGCCCTGGAACTCCTAGGTGTTGCAAGATGCACCCATTCCAAACAGTGAAAGATCAATAAAAATTGTACATTTGGATTTGGAGGGAGGAGATGGAAATCAGCTTTTGGGTTTTCCCTGTCCAACGACCAGGCAAAAATGTATTAATGGGAAGGAGGAAGGGAAATTGGATGATCCAGAAGATCCCCTGGTGAGATTCTATTGATAATGAAATACCCACTGAAGAAACATCATGTGAGCATAGTATTCAAAGAAGCTCAAGTCCCCAAAAGAAAAAGAACCACTCTAGCAGGGAGAAAAGGTGAGGAATGTGCCTATTGAGCTAAAAGCTACATAGAATTCAGACAATGAGGAAAAGGCTGGGCAAATCCTGAGATGGGAATGGAAGAACACCCAAAGACAAACGAGTTATTGGATTGAGATGATAGTGGACTTTTCCACCTTGACTAGGCAACACACCCAAGCAGCCCCTCAAAGGAGAAGATGCACATGATTGGATGACACAGCAAATGATGGAACTAGAAGAAGCCAGTCATCCATGTAGGGGTAGAAATATACTCCTTGTGCATGAAGACAGGCAAAAGACCTGACCACCTCACAATAAAACATAGTGGGCCGAGGTAAGCCCAACCGTAAGGGCACAGAACTGATAAACACATTCTCCCTGGATGAAGTGAAGATAATGACAGTATGCCATAAAAATAGGGATGTGGAGGTAAGCATTGGACACATCACACTTCATCATCCATGGACCAGGAACAAATGCCCATTAAAGAGACAGGTAAGACTTCAAAGTGAACCAGAGAATCTCCACAGAATGATTCAGACAGGAGAAACTAGAACAGTCTACTAATCTCCAGTCTTTTGGGGGACTAGAAAAGACAGGAATAGAAAACTGGTTCTATAGTATCCTGAAGAGAGGATCCTGAACTACTTTGGAAAGATGCTAGCTAGAACTGGAACCCAAGGAGGAGAGAAAGTGGCCAGAAGGCAGAAAAAGAAGGACAGGAAAAGATGAGATAGTTCTAAGAACCAGGCCCTAAAAAATCCTAGGGTTGGTGGCAAACATTTCTTACATACTGGCAAAACAAAAAAGCAGGGCAACAACTAGACCTGAACCCATGGAACAGTAATGGGTACAATTGATGGCATGTATGGCAATGGTGAACAAGAAAGAGTATGTCATGATGAAAGGACTCATGAAAGGGGAATAGGTAAGGATGAGGAGAACATGATGGCGGGAAAGTAATCCCATGAAAAAAGCAAAGAGGAACTAGAGTCAAAACCCCAAATGGGAGAAAAAAATATAACTGCAGACTAACCAGAATGGGATTCAAGTAACGATGGTAAACAAAAGTAAGAGACATGGCATTCTAACCCCCAAATGCAACTGATTGGCAAAATGCTCATTCTTCACCCCAATTTCAGAGGAAGGAAAAAAGACAAAATAATTGGCATTCAGTGTTTCAATGAAAAAGGTCTCAGCATGACCAGTGTTTGAGAATGAGACTACACGGCAAAGAAATGAGAAGGAAAACAGCTGTCCAAATCCTCAACTTCCTGTTTGAATTCCCAAGAAAAGGGAGAAATGGTTGTCAAACAGGAGACCCCTCAACCCACATTAAAGATGCCATCTCTCAGAAGAATAGGGCTGAAACATCTACAGCCAAAAATGTTGAACCTAAAGCCAATGTGATAGGTGGTTGGTCACCAGTAGTGTTTGAAGCAGTAATGGCCGTAACTTGAAAATAAGAGTACATGATACTGTGGTTGATTACCAGTACATGAGTGGGAACAGTACACCATGGAAGTAATGAACTGAAGAAAAAAAAAGTTAAATAACTGCAAACTCAAAAGGAGAAAACTGTTGAAGTTGCAATTAGAAATCGAAATTCTAAAATCAAGAGCAACAAAGCACAATTTAAATAAATCGTTAATTCTGAACACTCATGCCAAATCATGAAGTGAAGATTGGGTTCAACTGCACAGGGGGAGTCAGCTGCGAGAGGAGGGTGTGTCACACTCCAATAGGTGGAGGATTGTTGCATGCTATAATGCAGCTAAACCATGTGGTATACATGTGGAGTTAGGTGGAAGTTTAAAAGCTAGAACCAAGTGAAATATTTTGCAACAGAGGAGAGTCAAATAGAGAAAAACTGTAACTGTGAGATGAAGTAAGTGACTGTATCAGAATAAAACTGTCTTAAGTGGATCCTAGACTATTTTCCAAATCTTAAACTTATGTTCTCATGTTTTATTATTTTCAGAATAGAAAATTCCTGGAAACTCTTGTAAACTTAAATAGGATCACCTCTTACCATTCTAGTGGAAGCCATGTTGGAAGTGACAAGTAGATTCCAAACATCTAGTAGTGGAAGAAAAGACCTAAAAAAAACTTAACCACCAAGCAAAAGCCCACTGGACTCAAAGGAAAAGGAGGCAGCTGTAGCCAATTCAATGGAAAGGACTCAGAAATAAAATTTCAACTATTATGGACAAACTGCAAAGAGCAAAAGGATAAATCAGGATGTGGAGAAAGTGTCTAAGACCACAAACAAGGCCATCCATCACCAGGGAGAGTATCCTGCTCAGAGTGAGAAAATCATCTATCATGAACCTACTAAAAACTAAATTTAGGTAAAGTAGGACAGACTGATCACTGGCTAACAACAACCCATCTTCAGGGAAACAAAAATAAAAAACAGGAGGAAAACCCCCACAGAAGAATTGTTCCATGGCACTCAAAACTGATGAGGTGGAAAGTAGAAAAAGACAGAAAAAAACATTGAAAATGCATCGGCATCTGAGGAACTCACTAGTTTGTAGCAAAGGGAGTCCATAGGTTGTACATAGTGGGAGAGCAGAGCTCAGAAATGACTAGAGCCAACGGGTGGCACCAGAAAAAAATTGCCCCCCTCAAAAAAAAAACACTCAAAAGCTAGCCATCAAGGGGTAAGTGACAGGAAAGGAGGCCATATATGATGAGAAACCTGGTAAGACAAGGAAACAAAGTGAGAAGAGATGACTGTTAATGAGTTACATTAGCTCAAGTTGCCAAAGCAGGAAAAATACCCCCCCCCCAAAAAAAAAAAAAAAAATTCAATGAAATGGTGCAAGACAGAGAGCCTGAAGAGAAGATTGACTGAAGGAGACAAATATCAAAAATTAAGGAAATCTGGTGAATTAAATCCCAGAAATAAAGAAACCAAGTTTACTGAAACAAAGTGAAAGAAAATAAAGGAGAAAATTGGAAAACAGATATAGCATATAACTTAACATAATGTTTTGGAACAACATGGGACCTACTGGTCCATCTTGACTGTTGCATCCTCCAAACTAAACTAAAACTATTAATAAATTAATTTAAAATAAAAATCTTAAAGAGAACCCTTATCATTCATATACTTATCAAGCTTTCTCTTAAACTCACTTAAATTAATGGCCTCCACAACATCCAGAGGCAACCCATTCCAGAGGCCAACAAGGGGAAAACATTATTAGTATCATGTTACTATTTGTTTGTTTGTTTTGAATTTTGCACAAAGCTACACGAGGGCTATCTGCACTAGCCGTCCCTAATTTAGCAGTGTAAGACTACAGGGAAGGAAGCTAGTCATCACCATCAACCGCCAACTCTTGGGCTACTCTTTTACCAACAAATAGTGGGATTGACCATCACATTATAATGCCCCCACAGCTGAAAGGGTGAGCATGTTTGGAGGGACAGGGAATCGAACCCGCGACCCTTAGATTGCGAGTCGAGTGCCCTAACCACCTGGCCATGTCGGGCATCATGTTACTATAAACCAATTTTTTCAGGTTTATATTTCAACTACAATAGTTTTATTCCTTCATTTTCAAAACCAATTTATTGTTTGTGTTGGTTCACACAGCCTTTAAGAGAACAAGCACTGATTTGGCATTCAGCTTAGAACTTAGTAACATAAAAAGATTTCTTAAGAAGAATCATTTCCTTGAAAAGCTTGTTAATAAGATAGTGAACAACTACTTTCAAAAGGTAAACAATCCCATGGTACAGTTTTTCAATGTACCTAAACACCTCTTGGCTATTATATTACCCTTTATGGACCCTTCAAATTTCAAAATGAAGAAAACATTTTCAATATTTTAAAAGCATCACATCCACAAATATTGCTGAAGGTGATATTTACATCTCAAGTGTCCATAAATGATTTATTTACGGTGAAAGATACAATTCCATTGCTATAGCAATTGTACATCATTTACAAATTTAATGTACCTGTTGTAAACAGGACTATATTGGTTCCATGATATGTCACCTAGCAGTGTGAATTAGAGTAAATCTTAAAATCAACAAAGGAAGTCAGTTCAACATTTACCAACAGTGCAACAAATGTATGATGGGACATCAAATGACACAAACTTCTATATTATCTGCTCAACAAAGAATGAAATAATTATTTAGTTAAAGGAACCTTTAATAATCAGATAAATGATTCCTTTTTTCCTTTATTTAAAGGAGGTTAGATTTGCAAGCCTCTCTTTTTTTATTTTTAGTAGGTCAATAAACTTTTGTCAGGTGTCTGAAAACTGGTTAGTTGCTAATGTTACTCCTCTTCATAAAGAAGGATATACAGTCCCCTAAAAATTAAAGGCCAGTTAGTCTTACTTCTGTACTGAGAAAATAACTGTGACAACAGAAGCTCTGGAAAATCACTTTATGAAATATTATACCATAAAATAAAGCCAAAGTGGATTAAGCAAGAGAAATATTGCCTTAAGAATCTTACTCAAAAACACAAAATTTAATTTGATGAATTTTATGCTTATTGGTCAACAGAAATTGTCAAAAGTTTTAAAAATGTGAAATAATTTCAGAAAAGGAAAGGGATAAAGGCCTTAGTTGTGCCTTCAGATTTTCAATATAACTAACATAATATTACATATAACATGTAAGCTGTCTCCAAGCATTATCAGTCTCAAAGTGGGTTCCTCATCATCGAATTTGAATGCAACATTTGCTTTAAAGGCTGTTACTATCCATCCGCCCCTAAGAAAAAGCAAAAACCTAGATTCATTTTTTTGTATTTCAGGAAATCATTTATCACCCTCTAAAATTTCCATGAAGTCCTCAACTACTTCTGATCACAATTTATTCCATAAGAACAGAAAATTCAAGGAATTAAACTATATCTGTAAGATAACCTATCTACCACTAGAATCATTCTAGCAACCTTCCTCTAAACCCTGTAACCAGTATTATTCAAAACGAGACCTCACTAGTAATTTGTATAGAGAGATAAATATATCTTTTTATCGTAATCAATGTGTCTATAAATATAAAATTCTATTTGCAATTTTACTAACAGAGCATTTCTTTGATGGCTTTTGTGACTTATTTACTACTATGGCATGATCCTTTTCTTTGTCATACTATTGAACTGAATCCATTCTGTATTAAATGTGTGATCCAAATTACTAAAACCCAAATGCATTACCTTACACTTACTATAATCAAAAGTCGTTTGAAAATATTTATCCAATTTACAAATTTGATATTACCATCATCAGGAAACTTTTCTAATTTACTAATTATGGTCCCACAAATATAATTAAATTAAATAAGAAAGAACTAAGATCCCAGCACTAGGACCTTTGATACTCCAAAAGTAACAACATAACAAACATTAATTTTTCCTTTCTTATGCCCTACAATCCAATTAAACACATTACAACCCCTGACAATGTGAATTTCTTAGCTAATCTTGTTTGTGGCAGATTATATCATATCATCCTATTATCTTTAGAATATAGCACAAAGAATCAGAATCCTTTATCCCTATCAAGCCCCAGGTTAATCTCATAAACTTCATGAAGATCATCTCATCTTAGGGTAAAATTAATTGGGATCTCAACTTATCTCAATATGAATAATCATTGTAACCCTGTATCTACCTCTTTTGACTTATAACCAGTATCTATAAATAAATAAATACAAAAATTTTATAAGCTTTACTATTAGCAACAGAGCACTGTCTTGGTAGTTTGTATGACACTTACTTATCACTATGAAAGTTCCTTTTGATCAGTCACACTGCTGAGTTGGTTCCAAAGTATATTGAACTTTGGAGCAAAACTATGAAAAACCAAATACATTTCTTTGTACATACTGTAATTAACTGAAATCTGTAAGATAGACTTCCTTTGACAACTTACAGCACTAAATCAGGAAATGTATATTATTATTATATAATGTAATAAACACAACAGATAAAAAAGTTAAAGCTTATTACGTAAAAATGAACATCTATTATTTAATGTGAGACCATTCTGAACTGCAGACAAAATGTTTTAAAATACTTGTAGAATTGAAATTGAATAACTGGAGCTCGTGTGTAAATTTGATGTCATACAACTTGTATGAATGTGCATGCAACTAGTCAGAGTACAAGGTTGTTTTCATGTGAAGAAAAAAATACTTGTGTTCACTGTACAGTTTGCATCTAGAACTTCTGAAATGCATACCTAAGTTTTTCAGTATCCCCATACAATGTATCTAGTATTTTCTCCCTTCTACCACAAAGTGTAGCTAAATCAGCAATGTAGGGTAAAATAAATAGCTAATAACTCTGACATCAAACACATAATACCATATTTAATTGCATTCTGTAAAAGGTTGTTGCATATGCACTTTGATCTCCACCCCTGCACATAAGACTAAAGCCAGGTTATTTGCCAACTACTATTTCTCCAATTCACAACTTCATACAATAATTCTGTAGTACCTACACATCTTATATATGATTAGAAATCCAAGAGTTTTGTCTTTTATTTTCAATGTATTCACCCAAAGCTTCTTAATAGACATATGCACTAGCTGCCCCTAATTTTGAACTGATAAACTGGCAGCTAGTCAACAGCACCCATTGTCAACTCTTGTCTAACTGAATAGTGAATTTGACCATGATTCATCACTCTTTTAGTTTTATAATGCACCCACTGCCCCAAACTATTGAATGTGATTTTTTTTTTTATTTGGTGATAATGGGACAAGAAGAACAATGGACTGGCAGATCCATAGTGTAGCATGCTAACTACTAGTTCACAATTAGCTCAGTTTAATGTCACCTGCAAACTTTACTAATCGACTATATAATTATGCCCATATCCATAATATTAATATAAATAAGAAGTACAGACTTAGAGGCACACCACTAACAAAAGTCCACTTTTACTGGATATCTTTTTAATAAAAACGTTTTGCTTTCTTAGTTTCTATCGGTATCACCCATACAATCTACAAATTGCACATCCCCATTCCCAGTTAAATCTAACTAATCTTTGTATAACCAATACCGATGTGTGTTTTTTTTTATTGCGTGTCACCCTATCAAATTTTTTGAAAACATAAGTTCACAAAATTCACACCAATTCCATCAACCAGTTAACAATATCATAAAAAATGTAAACGGATATGTAGTACTTAAACTTTAAAAGTAAAGTATAACATGTGTAAACAATAAAATTAGTAATGTCTAGTATTACTACTGAGTACTACTACTAGTAGAACAAAAATTGTTTTTAACAATTAAAATTACCATCTCACACTCACAGGATTAGATATTGGTTGTTCCCATCGACAATGTGCTCTGCAGTACTTTCGATGAATTTGATTGGTACTGTAATTTAAACTGTAGCTATTTAATTATCCTTCATTCATGAGCGAGAGGTGATACTTATTTGACAAACGAACTTCTTTACTAAACGTACCTAGCCCCATATACTTTAGCTCTAACAGCACAACTACCGCTCAACCATTATCAAAAATACTGATATAGCCAGCCCTTATCATATAAAGTTAATATAAACTTAGATTACACATAAAATGACACTTTTTACACTTTGTAAATATAAAACGCATATCCAGCCTACTAAAACACGCGAAGTATACAAACAGTTACCCGTTGCAAATTTAATATTATTGAAAACAAAATCAGAATATGTATTGTTGCGTCATCGAGATCATGTGATTCTCACGCTCTCTACTTTCTAGAATTATCCTGTACTTTGGCGAATGCTCTAGTATTTACTAGATATAGGGTAGTCGGGTATATAAAAGAGGGGGACAACGTGACGCGGTAATGTGTGTATAGACAGTGAGTAATTGAA